TAAATATCGTCTATTAAAAGTTTATTTATTAAATTTACTCGATAGCTCTAATTAAAAAGAATAATTATAATTTTATAAATTTAATTCATAGATCTTTACTCGTAGATTTATAATATAAGATAAGTATTACTCGTATAGAGTTATCTCGATTAATAGTTTTATTAACTTATAAAGCGATTTCGCTATTATTACGTTAATAGATAAAAAAGCTCTTATTTAATATAATATATATACTATTATATTATTATATTACGAGTAAAGATCTATAAATTAAATTTATAATTTTTTTTTAATTAGAGCTATCGAGTACGAGGATATTAGAAGTTATTACTCTCGAGATTTACTCGACTACTATTAACTTTCTATTAAATATATATATTTCTATCTTTTAAATATATATATTTCTATTATAGCTTAGACTTAATAAGCTTAGTATAATTACTCTCTCGTAGTATTCTATATCGCTAAGATATTTTAGCATCTGCAAATCTGAAAAGTTCCTACAAAATTTGAAATTGCTGATCGCGCGTTTGTCGCGGAAATTACAAAATCTGTCGGATTAGTAAATCTGATTAGAATTCGCTCTAAATTCCGTCGGTTCAGTAATTATCTTAATCTTTTCTATTAGTTCTACTAGTTTAATAGTAATACGTATAAAAAAAGAAAAGTTCTAATAATCGACGTTGCGATGATAAGATTTTACGACGATAAGTATTAACGCTAACTTAAATTTGACTACGAAATTAGATAATTTAATAAAATTAGTTACGTAGATAATACTCTAATATAGCGTATAATAATACGTATATTGATGATAATATATATTAATATTATATATATATAGAATAGTACTTAGAGTATATTAAAGTATATTACGTAAAATTTTTAAAGTTATTAAAAAATTTTTAAAGTTACTAAACTAATAGAATTAATAAAAAGAATTAAATATAAATAAAGTCTACTTAATAGATTAAATCGTGCTAAATTATACTTATAATACGAACCCGCGAAAATCGTATGAAAATTTACTTTTTAGATTTATAGATAAATAATTCGAATTTAAATTTCACTAAGTTCGATTCGATCTTATTTCTTCTAAATTATTATACGATATTTATATTAATTATTTTATTATTATTAATAAATCTATTTATTTAGAAGATTCTAAATAATTTTAATTAGATTAAGATTAGATAATTATATAAGATATTCTAAAGTCTTAATTTAATTATCGAATTTTAGCTATATAGCGATATTTTTCATATTAATCTTAATATTCTTCTTACTTCGAATTATTTTATAACTTAAATTATCGTCTTTCTATAGAATATTATAATTATATCTAATTTATAATTAATTTATACTCTAATAATAGTTTAAAAGCTAATATTTAATATAATACTCTATTATTATACTATTTTCAATTAACTAAATATTAAAACTATAGAAAAAATTCGCTTTCTACTAACGAATACGCTTTTAATATTCTTCTTTATTATTATTCTTTAAATGACGACGTAATTTTAAGAGTTTTTCGATTATAATTCGAGATCGATCGAGCTCGTTATAATAGAATCGTAGCTTGCCTTTATAATATTATAAGACGTCCGCGGATATATAAATTAAAGTATCTTACTTTAAGAATATAGACTATATATTTTTAAAGTTCTTAGCGATATTAGCGTCTCGAAATATACGGCCTTACTATATAAATTTAATATTTTAATACTTTTCGTTCGTTTATATAATAAAATATTAGAAATCGTCTATCGTATAATACTCTCGATTATGTTTATACTCATATTCTAGCTTTTTCTTTATATTCGACTTCGAGACTTTTTTAACTAGTCGTTACTTATATATCTAAGTATTCTAAATATACTTAAAAGCGTATTATTATAGCGTATAAAAGGCGATTAGAATAGTATAATATTAAAGCTAATATTTAGACTTTTAATTATATATAGAATTATTAACGTCGCGTAAGATATCGTATATAGATTAATTAATCTTAGAAGAACGTCTAAAACGCTATTTTTTATATCGTCTAGTATCGAGGAGAGTCTAAATGCTATCTCATTTTCACTTAATATTTACTCGTATTATATACAATATCCTTTTCTATACATATATCTTTTATTATTTTTTTCGCTATTCTTTCGAATATTAATAGCTTTATAGAATTTAACTTTCTTATGAGTAGTAGCTTTCTAATAACGAGATCTATAAGTAGACGTATATAAGAGTATATTATACTCTATAATAAACTATTTAGAAGTATTTATAGTATATGTGTGTGTGAGAAAGCTAGTAGTAGCCGGGTAAATTCGAGGATAATAACTTCTAATATCCTCGAGAGTAACTTTTCGTAATTAATAAAAGAATACAACGTAAGAAATAAATGAATTCTTAGAACACACTTAGATTTTCTAATACGAATTCTAGCATTATAAAGTACGCTCTCATATAAAGAATATCTTAGATATAAGTAGATATCGAGATATAGATAATCGTATTAAAAGTTCTATTAGCGCTAGTTCTAGCTCTAACTCTAGAGTACTTTCGACTTTATAATAAGAAATCTCTCTACTTCGTAGAACTAAGAGCTAGTTCGATAATTACATATTTTGAAAATAACCTCTACTTATTTTTAACTTAGCGTCATATATATATAGAATATCATTCGATTATTATATTTTTAGAATATATTTTTAAAATATCTAAAAATAAGTTTTAAGTCTTATTTTTTAGTAAAATAAGACTAAGTACGCTAAAATAATAAATATTTATAATTAATATATATATAGATATTAAGATTACTCTAATTCTAACTCTATTAATAGAGATATTAGTAGAAATATTAGTAAGAATATTAGTAGAGATATTAATAGTAATAACGAGGGTAATAGAAGTATAAATAATAGTTAAAGTCTATATAGTAATAGTAGCAGATATCTCCGTTATAATAACGTAAAATAATAGAAATTTAATAGTTACTAATGAAGAAGATAATTTTCTCAATTTTTTACGACGTTTCTAACTCAGCCTTAAAAATAGGGTTATCAAACGGAACCGTATAGATATTTTATATATTTTAAATATAAATTAGTGTCATTTTTAAGCCATATTTTCATTTGCTAAGAGGTGGCGTTATTTAGTAAAAAATAAGTAGAGGTTATTTTCAAAATATGTGGTTACCGAACTGGCTCCTAAAAGTACTTCCTGGGAGCACCAGAATTTCAGGCGTTACCCGAGATTTTGGCGCATGTGTCTTGGCATGTGCAGGCTTATGCTGTAGACCATGCTGCATCAGATGTGAACAGAAGTCTAAACATCGAGGTTTACCCGGCTACTGCACGCATTTAAAGAAAACTGAGAATCTAATATACATATTCCTTCATTACATCACCATAATGTCGGTTTAATACGTCTACCACCTGTTTCTACTAGCTGTCGATATCGCTAAGATATTTTAGCGATACGAACTCGAACTTCGTATATAAAAAATCTTCTTAAATTTCTCGAAAATAATCTATAATAACTTCGTCTTATTTCGATATCCTCGGCGATAAACTCTAATTTTATATATATTTTAAATATTCTCTTTCGAATTTAAGTTATATAATTAGATCGAATACTTAAGTATTTTAATTTAATTAATCTTACGTAATTAATTAGCTCGTTCGATTAATTTAAATTTCTTATTATAACTTCTATTACTATTCTCTATTAAGATATCTCGACTAAATTATATATATAAATAATATATTTTTTCGATATAGTCTAGTAGAAGCTTATTAACGTAGTATTCTTAAGTTATTAAGTTATTAAATTCTTTAATCTCGAGAGTATATAATAGCGATTCTTTTTAGTCTTTAATACGTTACTCGTATTCTAAAGTAATTTTATATTTAAAACGTCTTATAGATTTATAAGACTTCGAAATCTTTATAGCGAGAGAGTTATTCTTATTATAATAGATAGTAATCTCTTTATAATACTAGAAGATACTTCTCGAGACGTAAATTAAGTATAATTCGAGATTTAGTAGTTTTTAAAGATTTTTAACGTTATAGCGAGTATCTCGTTTACGTAATATACGATTTTAAGAGATTATATTACGAGAATAATAAGTCTTATTTATAAATATTACGTATTGCTAAAGATTATCTACTATTTACCCGAGATATTATATATTATATTCTCGACGCTCTTTTAAATTTAACTCGCTAATTATCTTAATCTAAGTATATTTATATAGCTAAGAGTTATTAATTTAAGCTTAAAAAAGTATTCGTTCGCTTATATCGATTTTAAAATATTTTAATTAAATAAGAAATAGCTCTCGGCGTATAGAATTCTCGGCTAGAGTGATTATTTTCTTAAGAGTTTTAATTATAATCTTCGAAGTACGTCTAAAGCGATACTTTCTAGAATATCTAGTACTAGAGAATTCTTATAGTTTTCGTCTTTATAGTTATATATAGCCTATGTTAGACTTAATATTTTTATTATAATAGATATCTTTAATTAATCGATCCGAAGCTTGAAAGTCTATAGTCTTAAAGAATTTAGTCTTATGACGCGTAGTAGCTTTTATGATTAATTAGGGGGAGGATTACGCGGAGGCGTGTGAGGTGTATTTATTGTGTGGTGTGGACAATTAAGAAGAATATTTAATTGTTTTAGTGGTGGGAAAGCCTCCAGTAGCCGGGTAAACCTCGGTGTTCAGACTTCTGTCCACACCTGGTGCTGCCTTGTGAAACGTATCGGTGTCCGTCTCCTGAGGCCATCGATCTCTCTTTATGATGCTGGCGTGCTAAATATCATTAATGGCCGGCCGGACTGACGGCCGGACTGACGTCTGAGGGTTGTCTAGATCTAGACACTGAACTTCCATACGAGTACATCTTTCATAGCTTTGAAGGCGACGATTCTGTTTTGTCTGTAGGCCTTCAAGACAAATTTACGCAATCAAAGACCCTCTCGTTTATCGGACCATGGCGCCAGGAAATGGTGCCACTGTACAGACGAAGCAGCGTAGCACTCGAGTACTCAAGGTGGATGCATCCAAAATTGGCCGCTTTGTCTTTGATGATCCCCAGCAGTCTTTCCTCGGAAACTGGAAAGTTCAATTGTCTGGCGATGGTCCCGATGCCGCCAACATGTTGGAAGCCGTGTCACAGCTTCGAGACAGTGACCTACCGGTGGCTTTCCCTACGGAGACTGTCTACGGCCTAGGAGCAGACGCAACTCGCAGCTCCGCCGTTCGCGGAATATACAATGCGAAGCAGAGACCATCTGACAATCCTCTCATCATCCACATCAGCTCACTCTCCCAGCTTCGCAATCTTCTCCTCCCCAGTAGTTCTACTGCTGCTTCTCCCAACTCTCCCCAAGATCCGGTTCCACAGATCTACCATCCTCTCATCTCTCGCTTCTGGCCCGGACCACTCACCATACTGCTGCCTTTGCGTACACCGTCACCGTTAGCATCAGAAGTCACCTCGTCGCTCCCCACAGTCGCGGTCCGCATGCCATCATCACCACTTGCCCTTGCTCTCATTCAACTCGTCGGTGTTCCTCTTGCAGCACCATCTGCAAACGCTTCTTCGAAACCCTCTCCTACCACCGCTGCCCATGTTCTGCACGACCTCTCCGGACGTATCGACTTGATACTTGATGGAGGCCCCTGTACTGTTGGTGTGGAGAGCACAGTTGTGGATGGCTTAACAAGTCCACCAGTGATCTTGAGGCCTGGAGGGGTGTCAATAGATATGTTGAGAGCTTTCCCTGGTTGGGAGGATGTGAGGGTCGCATACAAAGACGGAGCAGAGACTGGTGTGCCAAGAGCGCCTGGAATGAAATACAAACATTATTCACCAAATGCAAAACTATTCCTGTTTCATGGCCAGTTAGACGCCGCGCTCGTGAAGAAATACCTCAAGGGAGGAAGCATTGGTGTTCTGAGGACAAAGACGTGGAAGGCAGGGCTTTTGCGGATGAACCTGCAGTCTTCCGAAGCCACTGGAATAACAGAAACAAACGGTCATCCACATTCTCGTAACGGAGACGATCATCAGACCACGGAGAGCCTAGAAGCTAGAACGGAAATCGAAGATCAGAGACAGCAGAACACGCTTTCATCCGTTTCTTCTGCGCAGCATTTTCAAGTGCATCTGGGTGATGAGCCCGAGCAACTTTTGACCGATCTCTGGACTATTGGCCTGGGTCCTGATACGGCAGACATAGCTCGAGGCTTATTCTCTGCCCTGCGAGAACTCGATCAAAAAGGTGTCAACATCATTTGCGTAGAAGGCATAAACGATAATGAGGGCGCTGCAGCAGCTGCAGTGATGAACAGACTTCGGAAAGCTGCAGAAGTAGAAATCATTGTTTAAACAAAACGTCGACATGCTTTGGGTCTGATCTAAGCTACCTCTGCTTCTTACTGCCTTTCCCCCCTCTCTTGCCTTTTCCTGCTCCTCCTCCACCTTTTCCTTTACCACCTGCCTCTCCTGGTCCCATGACAACCCTTACTTTTCCCACAGGGACGACACCAACAATCTCAGGCTCACGGATAGCTTTGATCAACTGTGCCTCCCGCATCCTCAACGTCTCTTCCTCCGATATAGCTTCATCTCCTTCGCCACTACCTGGTCTTTTCTTCTTTTCTCTCTCTGTCACCATGCCATTCCACTTTCCAAGAATCTCTCGTACGGCTTTGCCCTTTTTCGTAGTCCCTGGCTGCAATTTTACCCTCCACTTGTATCTTCCCCCAATCGCGTCCCAAGGACCACAAACGACTAGCGCATCGAGGAGTTCGTCACCTGGAAGCGGATTCCCAACAAACGCGTCCAGGCCATCTGATCCTTCAAGTTCATGGTCATCCAACGTCTCGATGCCCTCTTCAAAATTCAGTTTGCGTAACTCTTCAGCCTTTTTGCCCTTTTCAGCAGCCATAGCATGTTGTTCTCGTCGTCGCTCTTTCTGTGTCGCAAGCATCTTCTCCTTGTCGGCCTTAGCAGCTGCGTCCTCTGTGGCCTTCTCTTGAGCGGTAGCTGATCCAAGAAGACGCATGGCGAGGGCACGGTCCTCTTCATCTTGACTGGCGTACTTGGTCTTGAGCTTTTGGCGTTTGCCATGCTTTCCACGGACTCGAGGCGGCAGATATTTTGTGTCGGGCTGAGTAGATGGATTCGAGATTTGCGCTGGGTTTGCGTTGCCTTCCGAGTCCGTGCTTGTAGGTGCTGTCTCTGCGGGATCCATCGTGGAGGGTAGAGGACCTTTGCGTAATAGCCGGCGCTCTTTAGCATAAAGGTGACGCCTTTGATCAGTATCTGCGAACGAGTTCTCACAATTGGGAGTCTGTTCCCGCTGCTCACTTTCATCTTCCTCATTACTACTCTCGCCCGACGTTGCCTGATCGGGTTCAGTGCCTGAGTCTTTGGCTAGGACATCACTGGGGTGGTCTGGCGGATGTAATGCGCTTTGCTGGCGGCCGGTGGGTTGTAGCGGATTATCACGCACGTGGTCTGAGTTTCCATCAACCTCGCTGTCATCTCCGCCGTTGCTTTCAGCTCCGTCTGCGTCTTGGATATGTCCAAGTTCTTGGTTTTCATCATCATCGGCCTCAATTTGTTGATCTTCCGCTTGGCTTTCCATTCCATCCGCATCATCTTGGTCGCCTCCTATATCTTCAACATCTTTCCCAACTTCTGAGGGTGTAGGACCTACGGGATCTTGAACCCTATGCCTAAGATGCCGTACTTTGCTCCCTTCGCTGACTCTGAACATGATCCCAAAACCAAGGAGCAGTTGAGCTGGAGGAAGAAAGTTCTTGTGGCCTCGGATGACGAAGCTACCAGTTGGTAGGAATTCTCCCGTGGGAGCTGTTTTGGATACTTGATTTGCATCCACCCACCACGCAGACATCACCGCCTTGGAATCCCAAGCGCTCGAAGTGGCTACAGCCAGGGTGCCTGCCTGTGAGAGCGTTGAGGGCGGTACAGGGCTTTCTGACATTCCGAGCTTGTTCTTGACTATTACAGACGCGGCCCCATGCAAATCAGCATGAATGTATACATCTCCTTTTTTGAGGTACCTCTTATACAGGATTTCGTTTTGCTGGGCGTCCTTCCCACCCAGTACAAGGTAACCCTCAGAAGAAATGAAGTATACGAATTTCTCAAACCAGATAGCCTTCCTCTGAGGACGCATGACCTCCTTCTCCTGCTTCAAACCTTTCTTGAGGTCAGCACTGATCTTCTTCTCTGTACTCTTCAGAGCCTTCTCGGACGACTGGAGTGTCTTCTGCTCCTTTACGGCAGCAGACCTCTTTTGTTCGTAATACTGCCGGGCATTTGACCATGGTGAAAGCGCCAGGTCGATGTCTACAGCAAGACGCTTGTCAGCAGGCTTTGGGACATTGTGAACCTTCGTCTTGGTTTGCAGATCTTCATCGCTGTCTGAGACTGAGACATCGCTTCCGGTTTCATCTCCATCATAATCGTCTTCATCTTCATAGTTTGCCTCTGAAAGGAGTAAGGTTGCAGTGTTCTCGTAAAGTTTCAGGGGTAATTTGATCATTTCTGCTACAACGTTGTGTCGTTCCTGTTCCATTTCTATCAACCGTGCCATTTCTTGCCAATCCATGCCCTGACTTATCAGGGCATTGACCGCTACAAGAGCCTCTTGTACCTTCCGCAAGTTGGCCTCTATAGCTTGCGCTTTCCGGATATTGAGCTCCTGAACCTGCTGCAATCCTCCGAGACGTTTCTGATGATCCAGCCTTGCTGTCTCAAGCTTCCTCTTCGCATTCTCTTCCCTTTCCGTGAGACGCGACTCGAGCTTTTGTGACTCAATTGAGGAGAAGAACTCGTCGACAGTCTTGTTATAGCCGTCAAGTTCGAGCATCGTGATCTCGGAATTGTCCTCGAACTGTTGAGGTCGGAAGGGATGGAATTCCTCATACATGAGACTGTGTCCCGTAGCTGTCCCATCATTCAGGACTGGGTCTTGGACCGCGGCGGATGCTGTCTTTGCAGGTTTTGCAATGATGTACCCTTTGCACGTCACGGAACTCGTGTCTACAATCCTTTGCGCTTCCCTCAAGGTTACAACAAGCCTTTCCCTCAACGACGAGTCTTTTAGCACGTCCTCAACAGGAGTATTGGGGTCAAATGCAGCTACTCGTAGCGCGTGGTCGATCAGCATTGGTGGAAATTCGCCCATGGAACTTGCCAGAGCTTTGCGCAGAGCATCACCTGGTTTTTTCTTCGACTTCTTCTGATGCGCTGTGATCTCTCCCCCTACTTTATCAACAGCCTTTTGCAAACCTGCACTGATCCTCTCTGACGTTAAAGCTGGAACACCATTGTAATTTTGGCGATCCGTCAGCGAATACTTCAAGCCTACACGCAGCTGTTCTTGCTCCTCTGCAACTACACGAAGCAAGCTGATAATTCCCAGATCTTTGTCTGTGAGAACGATGTTGCCTCCAGCATAGAATTCGAGAAACAGACGATCTGTAGGTGCAAGCACTTAGCATTCTCTCTTCTAGAATCTGAAGTCGATCCATGAGAAGTTCCCCAGTTAAACAACAGTCCGAATAATTCGCAATTGCATATCAGTCCAACTTGGCTTGCATTGACTGTAAAAAAGTTGCTTACATTGGCCATCGCTAAATTGAATTTCAATGATTCTGTCAGTACCTAGATGGTTCCAGCGTCAGCATATATCTTTTGGCACCAAACTTAAATCATGAAACAGGTCCCGGTGGTGCTGGGTGTGTCAAAACCCCGCGACAAGTCTTGCAATTCGATGTAGCATGGACTAGGCAGAACAGGCTTGGAGAACACAACTCACCGACCTGTGAAACGGCAGTAACCCTTCGCGTTCTCAGAAACTTGCGTAACCGTGCCACAAAAGCCGAAGGGGCAGCAGCTGTAGCCCTGGTAAAGCTTGTGAGATGACACCGGAAACCTGAGTCAATGACCAAGGATTCACGCTGGTCCGGCTTGGCGAATTTCAGGAGGAAGATACGCTTCGTAATGTTGTATCAGCGCGAGCTGTAGGCCAACTCAGAAGAATCACGTACGGATGAGAGATCATAGACATTGGCAAGACGCAGCGTACAGAGAGCGTGTGACAGTTCTTGAGCAATGACCTTGGACTACTCAGCATCGCTAGTACGAAAATTATGGGCATTTTAGAGGCTCACCTTGACGTCTAGAGAGGAGAATCTTTGCTTCATGATTGCATATAAGTTTGAAAGAATGAAAGAAGATAAAGACTGAAGTAACTAAAAGTATTCCAAAAGGCAAGTGATACATGTACACCCCATTTTGATACATTGACACCTCCCGTCATATCTGGGAATAGCTTCCGAGGTTCCGGGTACGAAGGGTGTTAATTAGACTCGATACACTCTACTTTGCATTTAAGGGTAGTCTCCACGATCAGCTTTACGGTTAACTCCCGGAGGGCGACTCTATTTCAAATTTAGCGCATCGAACGTGTGTAAGAGCGAGTTCGTACAGGAGGGGTCTCCCGAAGGAAGGGAGGATCCTGACCACGAGTAATCGTAGTCCGACTATTCGCTCCGCTTATAGTAGTCCTCAACTCAAAGACGTACTAGTCTCAAAGACGCGAAAATCCATTATTCCTTCCTAATTCTATATAGATCTCGACCTATAACTCGAATCCTAATAAATATATTCTAATATATATATACTAGCTTTTATAGACTATAATCTAGCTTTCGAATATAAGCCTTAATAGCCTTATCGACCTTTTCTTACTAAATTTCCTTAGCTCGAGTAGCTCGCTTTAAAGCCTTCTTCGTTTTTTCTATAACTATTTCTTTTATTACAGTTAGAGATTTACGTATTTAATCTACTAATATTTATTCTTCTTTTAAGATAATTATCTTTAAAAATATCTTATATATCCGCTTAACTACGGCCTCTTTATAAATAGTTTTAATATCTCGCTTAATAATTTATCTCGAATAGCTATTAATAATAAATTCTTTTATAAATTAAGCTAATAGCTATTATATATTTTTTAAAATAATAAAAATCTAAGTAATAAGTAATACTTTAAATTATTAATTATATTTAATAACATCTTCGACTTTATAAAAAGTTCTAATAAAAATAAGAGATATAGATTCATCTAGAGTTATAGCGCGAGGTATTAGATTTCTAATTTTTTTAAATATTACTTTAGAGTTATAGAATACGAAATTAATCTTTTAAAAGGTCGAATATATAGTACTAGGCGTAAAGGTTTAAGTTTTTATTTAATTGAATATTACGAGAAAATCGAGCCTATTAAAGTCGCTACTCTTAAGATATATAGTCGAATCTATAGTCTTTATATAATAATATTTAAATAATTAAAAGTATTTTATATCTAATAACTATATAATATATATAGAATACGAGAAAAGTATAAATAAGTCGATCTTTAATTACTAGGTAAATATATGAAATTCGTAAATATAGTAAGATTCGAAGTTATTTAGAATTAAGACTCTTTATTCTCTTACTTAACGACGATAAGAAAATATATTAAAATATAATAGCTAGTCGTATATTAGTCGATTATTTAAATATTTAATAAATAAAACGACTAATATAGTATTCGAAGATAAGTCGTTTTTATCTCATTTATATAGAATATAAATATCTTTTAAAATTACGAATAAAGATATACTTTAGTCTTCGACGCTAATATATTTTACGAATATAATATAATTACAATTATCTAAATCTACGAATTATAGAGATTTACTTTTATTTAAAATAATAATATAATAGACGATTTTATAATTATTTCGAAAGTTAGTCTTATTTATATTTTAAATATTCTAATATTATATACTCTTCTCTTTATAGCCTTATCGAAATTTCTTATACGCTACGCGTATACTCTTAATATTATATATATTCTTATACTCGATATTAAGAGATTTTTACTTTTATTTATAATATTTAAAATATTATTTTATAAATTATATAGTCTAATCTTTATCGAATAATTTAAGAGAATAATATAAATTTAAAGCGATTTTTAGAATATACTTAATAATATTTTAAATATAATTTAATCGAAGTAAATACTCGATATTATTTAGATAATTAATATAGTTATATAATAACTATTTTTAAGTTATAGTAAGACGTATATAAGTAAATATTCGAGTACTTCTAGAAGCTTATCCTCGAAGCTATCTTTATATTTATCGCGATTTAAGATTATAATACTCTACGGCCGCTATAGCGCTATAAAAATAACTATTCTTATACTTATTAATAGTCTTTTAGACGAGTTTCTCTTACTTAGAATAAAATATAGATATAATATAATAAAATAATAGTAGATTATAATATAGGGTATCAAATCGCGAAAAAACGCGTCTTTGAGACTAGTACGTCTTTGAGTTACGGACTACTATAAGCGGAGCGAATAGTCGAACTACGATTAACGTACTCTGCAGATACTTATAGATAGCAAGACCACGCACGGCACTCGAAGCACTCGAAATAACTATTACAATATTAGCCCCTTCGGCTATCGTATAATATATCGCCTATTATCAGAGCTAGTAATTACTAGCTACTATTAATTATCTATTTTATATATATAAATATTTATATATCTTATAAATTAATAACTAGTCTTTTAGTTATAATTATTCTTTCTAATATATTAGATATTCTACTTTTAACAATAACGCCCGGCCTAAGTCGAAAGATACTTTCTACGAAGTCGTTCTTTCTAGCTTTATATAGTATACATCTATAAATCTAAAAAGTTTCTTTTCGTACGATTTCCGCCGGGTTCGTATTATAAGTACGATTTAGTCTATTAAGTAGACTTTATTTATATTTAACTCTTTTTATTAATTTAATAATTAAATATAATAAACTTCGCGTTTAATAAGCTAAGATAGTATTTATTTAGATCGATTAGATTTTAAAGCGACTATAAGCTATTAATTTAATAGTATATATCTAAAAATTCGAGAAACTATATATAAGATAGATTATCTAGATTATTCGAGTTAAATAATATTATTAATAATAATAATATCTATTAAAAGTTTAATTCGACTAATTAAATATATATTAGAGAGGTTTTTAAGACTATTTAAGCTAAATAGTATTATTAATTATAATAATATTTATAAAAATTCTAGATTAACTAGTCTCGCTAGTAATATTAATATTTATAGCGTATTTAAATTAGATAATATCGTCGATTATAATAACGTCTTTAAAATATTTAATTTAAATCGAATTTAATACTCTTAAGTATCTAATAAAAATTATCAATTTAAGATTTATCGCGATATCTTATTATAATATTAATAATATTTATAATCTCTAAAATATAGATTCTTAAATAATTAGAATTTTAAGCGCTATAGCGATACTTAATTCTTTATTAATTCTTATTTAATTCGCTTAATAAATAAAGAGACTAATTCTTTCTATTCTATCTACTACACTATATATTCTTTATATTTTTCCTCTCTATTTAATATAACTTTACTAATTTATAAATACTTATTCTCTTTATAGATTATCTCTTCTCTTATTCGCTATAATAGAGCTATAGACGATATATTAAAGTTTAATATTTTTTATTTATTCTCTCTACTTATTAAGACGCGAAGTATTTATACTTTAAGCTTAGAGAGATCTAAGTTCTAATTATTATTTATTAAATCGATTTCTTTCTATTTAATTATTTTATATATTAATTATTTCTTAATAATCTATAAGATTTTCTTATTATCTTTAATTAGACTTAAATCTAATCTCTCGAATAATTTAATATTAATAAATCTTAATATAAGTTTTCTTAAAGCGCTTACGAAGCTCGATTTCTCGATAATATTATCTAGCGAATTCTTATATAAGTTATTTAATTTAGAGAATTCTTATACCTTTTTTATTAATCTAGAGTATATCTTTAAAATACGTTATTATAATATATAGTATATAATAAGCCTTTTCTATTATTTTATATCTCTTTAAAACTTCTTAATATACTTATATATTTCTAAAAAGTATTATAATTATACGAGTAGTGAAATAATAATAAAAAGCTTATCTTTAACTTTCTTATTATTCTATCTTTTAATATAAAAATATTTAAAATTATAATTCTTTAGATTATAATAAAAGACGATTATTATAAAAATTATAATATTACTAAATAAGAGTAATTAAAAATACTTACTTCTTTATCTAAATTTAAGAAATACTCTCTTATTATAGAAGAAAATTTTATATAATAATATAACTATTAATTAAGATAAGAAGTATTTTTTATTTTAGAGATTATTAGTTAAAAAAGTTAATCGATCTAAATTCTATAAAATATATTATATTTTATTTATTTTATAAATCTTAACGCGTAAATTAAAGATCGATTAATAAGTCGCTAACTATCGTCTTTAGATCTTTAGATAATAACGTTATATAAATCTTAAGATAAGATTAAATAATATCTCGAATTTTCTTTATTAGAGTTAAACGAAAATCGCCTATATAATTAAAAAGCTATATTCTTATTAGAAAGAGTTTAAAATATTAATAATAATAATTAGTTAAGAATATTAATATCTTTCTTATCTCGAAATTTATAGATTAATTATTAACACTTCGCATAAATTAAATATTCTTATAGAGTTATTATCTCTAATTTTTTTATATTTTAATTATTACTTAATTAAGCGCGTTAATATAATACTTTAATTAGAGACTTAGCTCTTAAAGACTTAGATATTTAAAATCTTTATTAATTATAATTATTATAAATAAAATAACTCTTATCGTTTTAAATATATTAAAATACTCTTTCTTAATATTATAATCGCGCTTTTCTTATTATATTAAATTATCCTAAAGCGCGATCTAATAATTATCTTTATTCGAGTTATCTTATAAAATATAATCTATATATCTTTCTTTATTCTAATTTATTAATAATATATAATTCGATATTATTAAAGATATTAATAAAGCTTTAAATTTCCCTATTTTGTTTAATAGGCGTATCGATAAGAAGCTTAAATAAGCTATATACTAATAACGCGGCTTTAATATAATAACGTCTAATAACTTTATTTAGCGTAATACTTTTTAATATTAAATTATCTATAGCGATTTAGTTATTATTCTACTATATTTAAAATATATACTTATTCTTATATTAAAGCCTTATATAAAGTACTCT